TGCCAGCTTCGGGTCCCAATCTTTTTTTTTTTTTTAAATAAAGAATTATTGTATTTCATTTTATTCATCATTATTATTGTTTTTAATTTGACCAGAGAGAGAAAACAAAGCACCGGATCTGGAACTCGAATCATGGTCAGCCATGTGGGAGTCCAGCACCTTAACCACCATGCCACCTGCCATTCCCGGCTTTTCATTCTTTAAGTAAATAACTACCAGGGACAACAGTCAATTTGGTTTAGAAGACTACATCACATATAAGTAAACCACAAAGACCAAAGTTAGTTCACAGGCAGAACTTAGAAGTGAGTCCAAAACCAGCTGTGTGATTTTGAGTTAGTCTCTTAACTTCTCTGAAACTGTTCTCTCATTTGTAAAAAGGGAGACTGCAGTATTTGCCCCAGAGCACCACTATGAGCACTGAATACAAAAATCCACGCAGAGTGCTAGGTGTGGGCCTGGCACACAGCACGCAGTCGGTGGGAGCTAGCATAAGCGGCTCTTTGTCAACGTGATTCACTTTCTCAGAATTCCTCAAGTCTTCAAGTCTCCAGAGGGGCCTCATAGCAGGTGAACAATTTCACTTTAAAGCTGAAGACCGTGGTGCAGAGGCAGGGCACAAGGCTCTGTGAGGCTGGGTTCACATCCCAAGACCTCCCTGAGTACGCTGGGCACATGTGTGCCCGTGATCCAGGGCTGGCTGAGGCTGGGGATGGGAGGTGATGCTGTAAAGACTGCTGGGATGCTGTCTCTCTCTCTCTCTCTCTCTCTGTCTCATGGAAGAAATAAATAAATAAAGTAAAATGAAGACCTTGGGGTGGGGAGACAGTCCTGTAGGCTTCAGATATGGCCACGCTGTTTTCCAAAGGAATCACCTCTCCTCTTCTCCATGTCCACATCCCAGCGAGCAGCGAGCCTGGGGCCGGGTCTCATGGTTTGCCAGCAGGAACGTGCTGTGAGAAAGTGCACGCAAACTTTTCATGCCTGGGGCTTCTGTCCTAGCAGCAGACATGGCCACTCTTAGGGTGGGCTGCCAAATTAAACGCTGGGCTTTCACGGTGGCCAGCAGGTGGTGTGATGGTTAAAGGCACTGGATTCCCATATGGCCTGCTACGGTTTAAATCGTGGACCTGAAGGCTTTCTTTCTCTCTCTCTCTCTCTCTCTCTCTCTCTCTCTCTGTCTTTTTCTCTCTCTCTCTGGTCATATAATGTCCCTCTCTGGTCAAATTAAAATAAATAATAAATAAATAAAGTTAAATAAAATACTTCTTTTTAAAAAAATGCAGAGCTTTCACGCCAGTGCCAGCAGTGTCTGCCCTGCCCTGCTGGGGACTCCGACAGAGCCAGCTCTGCTCTCGGAGCAGTAGTGTGACGAGGTAGTGCCCTCAGTCATCACTGAGAGGCACCCATAGTGTACACGCCTGCCTGCCCCACTTACAGGAGGGGGGTAGGGAAATGGTATGACCTCCCAAAGGCAGACTAAAGCTCAGTGCTGAGCACAGCACAGGGTTTAATACACACAGACTCTGTTACCTTCGCTCTCCACTCACATTACTGGTTCATCGCTCCTGTCCACAACGGTACTGGGGTGCAGGGCTGGCCCAGCGTGAAAGCTGGCCAGCCTTGAGAGGGTGGGTCCAGGGAGCACTCAGGGGGCAGGGACTTTTCTGCACCCCAGACCTGCTCCCTGGGCAAGAGAAGAGATCCTGAGCCCTAACCCCGCCAGCAGAGGCCTACTGCTATCTAACTGTCAGGCTGGTTTAGGTTAAAGATAAGATCCAGCTGATTAGAATGGAAACTTACCTAACAGAGGCGAACATATCGGACATATCGGGCTTTGCTACAGAATATCTAGCTTTTCTTGAAAAGCTGTGAGATAGGATTCTATAAATGCTGAGACCTCAGCCCCACACATGTTACTCCCTTCTCAAGTAATCTCAAAAGAGGAAGATAGAGAAGTCTTGTGGGAGGTGCACCATATCTAGCAGGCAAGCAGGGGTGGAGAGGGGGAAGCACCCAGAACGGGGCCGTACTGGGTCTGAATGACAATGTGGCACAGCATCATGGGCAGTCCAGGGCCAGGACAGTGGCTCCAACGCCAGACCCAGGAAACAGAAGTCGAATTACTGCAAGTGCAGGAGTGGCGTAGAAAAGGAGCGAGCTTCACGCCAGCACACCAGCTGCTGGGATCCTCAGTGGTCTGCGTGTGCAAGAAGGTCCCCTGAAAGTCCGGCTTTCTCCTAAGTAAAGAAATGATGAGGCCAGCCCGCAGCCATGGTGAAGGTGTCTATGGTTTGAATCCCGGACCTGGCAGCTTGCTTTCTCACATGGACAACTGTGATTCAGGTCCCGGGCCCAGCAGCTTGAGAAACACATCAGTCGCATGTGTGCATGCCCCCATCCCGAGAGAGCAGAGAAAGGACTGTGGCCTGGCCACCCAGGTGCTTTCTCACTCCTCCTCTCTCTGTGTCTCTGTCTCCACTAACTGTATGAGCCCTACAGCAAAAACAAACAAACTAAAAAGAAAGAAACTGGGGCCAGCAGGTGGCATGGTGTTTGGGGTGCTGGACTCCCACATGGCCAAACCTGGTTCAAGACCTGGACCTGGCAGCTTGCTTTCTCACTTTTCCACTCTCTCTCTCTGATCAAATTTTTAAAAATAATGATGATGATGGATAAAATAATTAAAAAAAAAAAAAAGACAGAAAGAAGCTATGGGGCCAGCTGGTGGTGTAGTGGTTAAGGCACTTGGATCCCACATGGCCTACTCTGTGGTTTGAGGCACCAGACCTGGCAGCTTGAGAAACACACTGGGCGTGTGCGTGCGTGCCCAAAGTCCTGAACGGAAGGAGAAATGGAGGAGAAAGGATTGTGGTGTGACCATGTCCCATGGGGAGTGCTTTCTCACTTTCTCTTTCTCTCTCTCTTCCCCCAGCAAGTGCACACTCCCTTTGGGAAATTTATTTTTGGGGGGAGAGGTTTTTGCTATAGGGCGCATGTGCTCACCAGAAAGACAGAGACAGAGAGATAGAAAGTGAGAAATCACCCCCCAGGGGAATGGCCAGGCCGCAATCCCTTCTCCTTCATTCTCCTCTCGGGATCTTGAGCACACACGCAAGCACACGCGCCCGGTTGAGTTTAAGCCACCAGGCCCAGGACTCGAACCGAGGTTGACTACATGGAAGTCCAGCGGCATAGCCATTATGCTAACTGCTAGTCCCAGAAAAAATTTTGTAAAAAGAAAGAAGATATAGTATGTAGAGGACATCCCTGCTTTCTCAGAACTCCAGGCTATCTGTGCCAGAGGTCAATCCAGGGAGATCAGAAAGACACAGCAGAACAGAGAGAGCACGGTGGTTAGAGCTACACTCTGTTAGCATTCAAGCTCCTGCAGGCTCCCATCCTCTCTGTGACCCTCACTTAGACAGGTATTTATTCGCTAAGCCTCAGTTCCTCAACCCTAAACAGATTACAGCAGCAGCAGCCTCGCACAGCTCTGTGCTTTAATGGGCATGAAATGCATTCAGCACAGGGCACAGGGGTTCTCAACTAGTGGCACTTTTGCCCCGCACACAACCTTTTGTTGTGTTATGATGGGGAGATGGTTACTACTGGTATCTAGTGGGTAGAGACCAAAGAGGCTATTAAACATACTCTAATACACAGGACAGGACTACATAAAAAACTGCCTAGGGGTCAGCAGGTGGCATAGCACTTAATGGTCAACTGTGGTTCAAATCCTGGACCTGGCATCTTGAAACTCACGCTGGGCACATGCGCATGTATGCTCAAGGTCCCGAGAGGAGAATGGAGGAGAGGGACTGTAGTGTGACCATCCCTCCGGAGGGTGATTTCTCACCTTCTGTCTCTCTGGCAAGCACACATGCCCTATAGCAAAAATCTCTAACAACAATGACAACAAAAACTATCCAGCCCCAGAAGTCAAAAGGGCTAAAACTTAGAGATGGCCAAACACACTGCACGCACTCGATAAATATGAACTACAAAATTATCTTACTAAACCAGCTACAGTTTCTTTCTCACAAGAATAACCAACATCTGTGATTGAAATGATAAGAGATAGTAAGCATGTATGACTTACTCTGCTTCTCGTAACATTGGGTAACAGGTCTGTTAATCTGGAGACAGGAAGAGTTTGTTGCCTGGTTGATTCTGGGAAGCCCAGTAACTTTGCAAAGTAAGTGACATAGCAGAGCACCAGCACTGTGCTAGAGAGCAGCTGGGAAGAAAAAATCAGGGTTTCAATTGAACTGTTTCAATAAAGGCATACTTAAGACATGCCTATAAACTGGACCTCGAAGGCCAATCAGGAGCTCAAACTGCCCTGATGGGCCAATGCCTCGCTCTCTGGAAAGCAGCAGCACGATTCGCGGAGACGCAGTTCCATGTGGCCTCTCTGTGCAGTGCCCCGAATGCTCACTGGACAAGGAGCTCGTTGAGGTCCTCTGTGTAGGCAGAATACGGCCACATGGGCCGCTGACCTTCAGCTCAGATGCCACAGCACTGCCAGCCACGTTCTCAGAAGTTGTGTGTTTGGCCGAAGGACCAGCTCCCCACTCAGACAGCTCACTGTAAGCACCCAGTTGTCCCGACTGGGCTATATCCAGGGACCTACCCTCATCTAGGACTGTGGGTTTTCCATAACCCTGGAAACCGGTTTAGGATCACAAACCGTAGCAGAACTGAGCTACAGCTCCTCTCCACCCAGTGCTCAGGCAGGGCAGAAGCTGCCACAAGATGGGGAGGTGGGGTGGGGTAGTGAGAGGGCCCACCCTCCAGGACAAAGAAAGGCCTCAGGCCAAGAGCAGCAGTCAGGGCTTTGTTTGCAGGTTGGGGGGAAGCGTCCCAAAGAGCCCCTTTGCACAGGAGCTCCAGAAGGTGGGGCCTCCAGGCCCTGCCTGCAGCCTGAGGCACTGCAGCTGCTCCTGTAGCACAGGTCATGGCAAGGAGGGGGGTCTCGGGCTAGCAGGTGGAGGCTCCCCACTCTCCGCTCCCCACCAGGCCTGAGGGCAGGGCCCTTACCCACCATCTTTCTTTCATGCCTCAAGCCCTTAATACACAAACAACACTGCTGTGAACCACGCCCCCTGATGCCAGCATCCTCTGTGACAAGTCCCCTTCCTGCAATCACCCTCCACACCTCTCTTCATCTTCATCCTACTGCTGATCAGAGCCTGCAGGAAACAGTTATGACCTACTGATAGTCTTAATGCAGAATATTAAAACATGACCCTGAGAAAAAGATTCACATAATATGAAATTCATTGTAACTGTACATAATTTGGTAGCTTTTAGTATTTATGTTGTGTGACCATCACCACTACCTAATTCCAGGCCATTTTCATCACCTCAAAGGGAAACCCTAGACCCATTAAGCAGCTATTGCCCATTCCATCAACTCCTGGCAACCACTAACCTGTCCTCTGCCTCTATGGGCATGCTTGTCCTGGACAGTCCATATCGATGAACTCTTACAGCAGGTGCAGCCTCTGTTTTTGAAATTATTTATATCATTCCACTTCTTATTTTTATTTTTTTTTATGTTTTAATTTGAGCAGACAGAGACAGAAAGAGAGAGAGGGAAAGCGAAAAAGCAAGCCACCAGGTCCGGGATTTGAACGGCCATATGGGAATCCACTGCCTTTATCCACCAGGCCACCTGCTGGCCCCAAGGTGCAGCTTCTTTTGATTGGCTTCTTTCACCCAAGGTTCACCCAGGTTGAGAGTAAGCATCAATATTTCACTTTTACTGCATGGAGAGGCTATATTTTGTTTATCCATCAGATGATGGACATTTGGGTTGTCTCCACCTTTCGGCTATTGGGAATAGTATTGCTGTGCTCATGAGCGTAGGTTTTTTATTTGAACGCTTGTTTTCAATCCTCCTGGTGGTATTCACACACACTTCAGTGGAACTGCTGGACTGAGTGGCCACTCTGTGCTTAACTCTCTGAGGAACTGCCAACTTGCTTTCCTTGGCGGCTAACTATTTTACGTTCCCATCAGCAAGGTATGGGGTTCCAATCACTCTACCATCACTTGCTATTTTGTTTTTATATTTTTTATGTTTATTTCTTTTTTCCATAGTGAAAGAGACAGAACAAAAGAGAGAAAGAAAGACAGGGATAGGGAGAGAGGGGGCATCCAACAGGCTCTCCATGCCACAATCCTCCCCAGCACCAGCCAGACTGGATCACAGGCACATGTGAGCCCAGCATGTCCAGAGTCCTCAGAACGAGAACCTGGGACCTTTCCAAGTAGGTCTGCCTCACAGAGTGCTGCATAAATTACTCCTGCATCACTGTCCAGTCCCACTTTTTGTTTTTTGGATAAGCGCCATTCTAACAGGTATGAAGTGGTGGCTAACTGTGATTTTGTTTGCACTTCCCTAGTGATAAATGATGCTGAATATCCTTTAGTGTGCTCCTTGGCCATGTATTTGTATTTTTTCTTCATAGAAATGTGTATTCGGGGGACCAGCAGTTAGCATAATGGCTATGTCACTGGACTCCCACGTAGTCGACCGTGGTTCGCGTCCCGGACCTGGTGGCTTAAAACTCACACCAGGTGCGTGTGCGTGCCCAAGATCCTGAGAGGAGAATGGAGAAGAGATTGTGGCGTGGCCATCCTCCCTGGGGGGTGATTTCTCGCTTTCTGTCTCTATGTCTCTGTCTGTCTGGCAAGCACACGCACCCTATAGCAAAAATCTCTAAAAAAAAAAACCAAAGAAATGTGTATTCAGGATTCAGCAGTTGGTGTAATGGCTATGTCACTGTACTCCCATGTAGTGACTGTGGTTCAAGTCCCGGACCCGGTAGCTTAAACTCACTCCGGGTGCATTTATGTGCATGCCCACCCAAGATCCCAAGAGGAGAATGGATTGCAGTGTGGGCATCACCCCGGGGGGTGATTTCTTGCTTTCTGTCTCTATCTTTCTGGTGAGCACACACGCCCTATAACAAAAACCTCTCCAAAAAAAAAAAAAGAAAAGAAAAGAAATGTGTATTCGGCATTCTTTGCCTACTCTTTAATTGGGTAGTGTGTCTTTTTACTGTTGAGCTTTAAGTGTTCTTTATATATTCTAGGATAACTCTTTTACTTGATGTATAAGGCCACAGAATGAGGGGCTAGTTTAAGGAGGACTATGGAGACAAGTTGGACAAAGGAGAATTCCGGGTGCCTTGGGTTGGGCTCACCTGCTCCAATGAAGTGTTGTGGTTGGCCTAAGATCTCTCACACAGACACTGACAGAATAGTCCAGAGAAGGGATCTCAGAAGTCTCATAGCAAGGAAGCCAATAAATTCAGAATTGGCCTTACTAAATTATGGCCTATGATATATTCTGGGTGGGAACTACAACTATCAAAAACTCAAAACTTAAGGGCCTTACCCAAGAAAAGTCAACCAAATAACTGAGTGTCTCCATTGCTCTCCTGTCCCACTGGAAAGAGTTCATCAAAAACAATGATGAGGGGGAACCAGCAGTTAGTGTAATGGCTATGTCGCTGGACTCCCACGTAGTCGACCGCGGTTCGTGTCCCGGACCCGGTGGCTTAAAACTCACGCCGGGCGCGTGTGCGTGTGTGCCCAAGATCCCGAGAGGAGAATGGAGGAGAAGGGATTGCGGCGTGACCATCCCCCCTGGGGGGTGATTTCTCGCTTTCTGTCTCTATGTC